CTGTATTTTGAAAGATGGAGAACATCATACAATGTGTTTTGAAATCACTCAAAGGTCAAATAGAAAGAGATTTAAACGATTTAAATTTTTCAAAAAATTTAAATTAAATCCAAATGTTAAAACAAGGACTATCTCTGTATTTTGGGAGATGGAGAACATCATACAATGTGTTTTGAAATCTTTCAAAGGTCAAATAGAGTGAAATTTAAATGATTTAAATTTTTCAAAAATTTTTAATTGAATCCAAATGTAAAAACAAGGACTATCTGTGTATTTTGAAAGATGGAGAACATCATACAATGTGTTTTGAAATCACTGAAAGATTAAATAGAGTGAGATTTAAACGATTTAAATTTTTCAAAAATTTAAATTGAATCCAAATGGTAAAATCAAGTACTATCTCTACATTTTGAAAGATGCAGAACATCATACAATGTGTTTTGAAATCTCTCAAAGGTCAAATAGAGTGGAATTTAAACGATTTAAATTTTTCAAAAAATTCGAATTGAATCCAAAAGTTAAAATAATGACTATCTCTGTATTTTGAAAGATGGAGAACATCATACAATGTGTTTTGAAATCTTTTAAAAGTCAAATAGAGTAAGATTTAAACAATTTAAATTTTTCAAAAAATTTAAATTGAATTCAAATGGTAAAACAAGGACTATTTCTATATCTTGAAAGATGGAGAATATCATATGATGTGTTTTGAAATCTCTCAAAGGTCAAATAGAGTGAAATTAAAACGATTTAAATTTTTCAAAAAAATTAAATTGAATCCAAACGTTAAAACAAGGACTATCTGTATATTTTGAGAGATGGAGAACATCATACAATGTGTTTTGAAATCTCTCAAAGGTCAAATAGAGTGAGATTTAAACGATTTAAATTTTTCAAAAAATTTAAATTGCTTCCAAATGTTAAAACAAAGACTGTCTCTGTATTTTGAAAGATGGAGAACATCATACAATGTGTTTTGAAACCTCTCAAAGGTCAATTAGAGTGAGATTTAAACGATTTAAATTTTTCAAAAATTTGAATTGAATCCAAATGGTAAAATCAAGGACTATCTCTACATTTTGAAAGATGGAGAACATCATACAATGTGTTTTGAAATCTCTCAAAGGTCAAATAGAGTGGAATTTAAACGATTTGAATTTTTCAAAAAAATCAAATTGAATCCAAATTTTGAAAAAAGGACTATCTCTGTATTTTGAAAGATGGAGAACATCATACAATATTGTGTGAAATCTCTGAAAGGTCAAATAGAGTGAGATTTAAAGGAATTAAATTTTTCAAAAAATTTAAATTGCTTCCAAAAGTTAAAATAAGGACTATCTCTGTATTTTGAAAGACGGAGAACATCATACAATGTGTTTTGAAATCTTTTAAAAGTCAAATAGAGTAAGATTTAAACAATTTAAATTTTTCAAAAAAATTAATTTGAATTCAAATGGTAAAACAAGGACTTTTTCTATATCTTGAAAGATGGAGAATATCATATGATGTGTTTTGAAATCTCTCAAAGGTCAAATAGAGTGAAATTTAAACGATTTAAATTTTTCAAAAAATTTAAATTGAATCCAAACGTTAAAACAAGGACTATCTGTATATTTTGAGAGATGGAGAACATCATACAACGTGTTTTGAAATCTCTCAAAGGTCAAATAGAGTGAGATTTAAACGATTTAAATTTTTCAAAAAATTTAAATTGCTTCCAAATGTTAAAACAAAGACTGTCTCTGTGTTTTGAAAGATGGAGAACATCATACAATGTGTTTTGGAACCTCTCAAAGGTCAATTACAGTGAGATTTAAACGATTTAATTTTTTCAAAAAATTTAAATTGCAATGAAATATTAAATAAAAGCCAACTTCCATATTTTGAAGGAAGAGAACATCATTTGTTGCGTTTTTAGGTTTGTGGAAGGAATTTAAATTTTTTGAAAAATTTAAATCGTTTAAATTTCACCCTATTTGACCTTTGAGAGATTTTAAAACACATTGTATGATGTTCTCCATCTTTCAAAATACAGAGATAGTCCTTTTTTCAAAATTTGGATTCAATTTAAATTTTTTGAAAAATTTAAATCGTGTAAATTTCACCCTATTTGACCTTTGAGAGATTTTAAAACACATTGTATGATGTTCTCCATCTTTTAAAATACAGAGATAGTCTTTGTATTAACATTTGGATTTAATTTAAATTTTTTGAAAAATTTAAATCGTTTAAATTTCACTCTATTTGACCTTTGAGAGATTTCAAAACACATTGTATGATGTTCTCCATAATAATAATAACTAGATAAGATCTCGTTGCGAGCAACGAGTGGGTCTTCCGTCCGATTTTTGATGACCTTTGGGTCAAGGTCAAAGGTCAAGGTCATTTAAAAAAAAAATTCTTTACGTTCTACGAATTTCTGCACAACTTCCGGTTTAGAAGTACAACTTCCGGTGGAAATGAAATGACATGAAACACTGTATATGTCAATGTTATAAACATTTAAAAATGAAAAAAAATTAAAAATTGCATATTTTTAAACTACTTCCGTTGGACATTGGAAGTGACGCCGGAAAAAAACGAAACACCGGAGACAAATCTACAGATCATGGTCTATTATCCCAGAAAGTTCCATGACTCTATCTTCAACCGTTTTTGAAAAGAGGCACAGACAAAATTTCAATTTAAAAAAAGAAAATCAGGTATAACTCGCGACCGGAAGTGACATAATCAAAATTAAAAAAAAGCCTTCAGTTCATGTAATTTGCCATCATTGCTGAAAGTTTCATGAAAATCCATCCATGCATTTACGAGAAATCGCGTGCACAAAATCGGTAATAATAATAATAATAATAAAAGTTGAAAAGAAACAACAGAATAATAAGAAGGTCTTCCGTTGAGACGGAAGACCTTAAAAAGTGAAAAATCAACAATAGAATAATAGAAGGGTCTTCCGCAGAAGACGGAAGACCCTAATAATAAAAAGCTTGAAAAAGAAACATAAGAATAATAGAAGAGTCTTCCGCTGAAGACGGAAGACCCTAATAATAAAAGTGAAAAAGAAACAATAGAATAATAGAAGGGTCTTCCGTTGGAGACGGAAGACCCTAATAATAATAATAATAATAATTATAAACTCGGGATTATGCTATTCTAATATAGCGCAATTGCCTTTAGCTGTTATTATGATTCTACGTCTGAAAAACTGTACTGTAGTCATTTGTTAACTTACTGCCTCGTGATCTTTTAGCAATTTTTATAACTAAAAAGTACAAGTAATGTTTATTTTCCGCGGGAGTTTGAGTGTTTAAAAAATAAAAAATTAAAATTGGTGTTTGTTTAGATACATGTGTCATTCGATTTTTCTTTAAAAAAATTAATTTCATAGCTACAAGATCGTTATCTCGATCTGAATAAAAGTTTAGGGGAAATGACAAGATGAAGATAACGAACTGTGATCGGTCTCAAAAATCAAACAAACAAATTTGCAAGCAGGACAAAAAACACGAACACCTGGATATTTCCAGGTGGTATCAGGTGCTTAGGAGGAGTAAGCATCCCCTCTTGACTGGTCACATCCGCCATGAGCCCTATGTATAGATCAGGTAGACGCAGCATTCCAAAGTCAGGTTCAGTAATAAAAACAAAAACAATTGGTATGAAATACGTCAGCCAACATATTTCTGAAATGCTGACTTTAAACCAGATCAATGAAATCCCTGTAACATCAACTTATTTATCAGTAACCTGCCTTTATTTAAATAAAAATTAATCTACTTGGAGAATGCTTATGAGTATCGAATAAATTGTGAGATATAAACACTATATGAAGGTGATATTGTGGTATTACTATATGAATAGTGAAGGTAACGATGGAAAAGATGAAGTCATCTTGTTTGTAATACAATTTAGTTGTAAGTTTGCCTTTATCGTCTATAGTCAGTAAAACATCCAAATATGAAACAGGAAATGGTTTTTTTTTAGAATTGTGAAGTCAGATTTTAAGGATTACTTAAAACGTCCTTTAATCGTTTTTATATGCGTTTTTGGCATTTCCCAGTTTGTCAGTGAAGAAAGGTATGAGTTTAATCGCCGTATTCTTAAAATAATTCTGAAGTTATCACATATGTTTGTTTTCTGGAATATTGGGATCATTTTAAGTTAATTTTAAATACATGTACGTAATTTCACACATAAAATTGTTTTTTCTTTTCTTTTGCTTCTTTTAAAATGCATATGAACAACACAATTTGAACTCATTATTTTCATTCTTGTTAAGAAATTGTTAAGAAATTACAAAAAGAAGCAATGTTCATTGCAACAAAACAATATTGTCGGCTTTTCACTTTCCATTCTATTTCTTGTCAGAGGTCTTTATGTCAACAATATGTATATGCTGTATCGTTAAACCATAAATATAAGCAGAAAAAGTGCATTGTGCAGGAGTGACTAAAACGTATGTTTTGATACTTCTAGTCACTTTGGAGGATACGTTTTGGACACCAATATATACCCATATACACCCAAGGACTTGTTTGCACGGCGTTTTAAATCTTCTTGGTGGTTGTAAGAGGCTGTTTAAAAAAATGACAAAATTAAAGCCAGCCTTATAAATGGCTTCTTGACGAAAAACGCACTTGTAGTTTAAGAATCCTTCTTCAGACATTGTTGAATTTTGAAAATTTCCCCAAAGCACCACTAATATCCAACAAAGAAAAAAATGTTTACCTATGTTTATATTTAAAAGAATTCTTCATTCCTATTTTTGTGGACATTTTGAATCAAAAAAGAAAACATTTCAGGCTAAATAAGCTAAATTAAATATCTAATAAGTGTAACTGATATGTTAAATGAGTTTCTAATTAGATAAAAAATCATTCACATCAATCGAACGACGAATTTATATAAAAAAGGATTTTGGATTGTAGAGTCAACGTCATGTGTCTGTGGCTTGAATTTTTTTTTTTTTTTTTCATTGAAAGGTTTCTTAGCAAATTTACCTTTTCTGCATTCTGTAGATCCGTTTTGCCTAGCATAACCTTCATAGCAAAAACATTTACTTGTACTGCCACTTATACACAACTGATCACATCCACCATTTCCTACTGCACAATTATCTACAAATAAGAATGTTGCTTCAATGAATTTCATAGTACCGATGGAATAAATTTTTACCATCTGAAATTCTTAAAACTGTTCTATACGATAAAATCTTTGAAATTCTGTAAAGAATCGAGTATAGACGTAAATCAGTTTCGTACATACATTTTACAATTCCATTTTTGTCAAAATTTAAAGATATATATGCAACGTGATTTTGAACTTCCTTTTCTTATACTCTGCAATTTTAGAGTACCGGAAAGTTTTCGACTTTTATGAATCGGTACAAAACAATTTTTGAGGAAATTTTAGGTAAAATTATAATTATTTTTGGCAATTTTTGCAGTTTTTTTTTCCTTGGGAAAAAAAAGGATTTTCATCTTCTGATATCTTTTTTCAAACCCCTGGTAATGTATGCTGATTTATTTGTTGGGTATGTCCTTATGCAAAAAATAACCTCTCAAACTACGAAGAAATGCATCCTGTATAAAAATATTCGATAAACTTCCTTGGTATGAAATGCACGATGAAGATATTTCTATAGATCTATAATCTGCTGAGCAAATACTTGTTGAATTCGTTGATTGGTATTCCGTCCAAATGACTAAACCCTGTTATTAAAGAAAATAAATCGTTTTAACATATACATTTTTAATTCATACATATCGTTTAAAAAAATGTTTACAATAAATCTTTTTTATTTTTTTCATTTAAATACTGGAAAATAAAAAAAAAACCTGCTAAAAAGTAAATTCTTTAAAAATATGTACATGTTTCTTCGGAAATACTACATACAATATGGGCTGCTTAATAAAAATATCAATACCAACCTGCAAAATGTTTAATGATTGCATCGTGTAATTTAATCTTCTGATCACCCTCACATTGTTTCCGTCGTTATTAACACTCATGATTCCTCTTTTCGTACCCCAGAATATTCTTATTAAAATAAAAAGAAACATATTTGAATATCTAAAGCACGTTTCAATACAAGAAGTGATTGTATTTATAGAAAGAATATAATAACCCCCCCCCCCCCCCTAAAAAAGGAAAAAAAAATACAAAAAAAAAAGAAAAAAAAATTCAAAACAAAACAAATAAAATAAACAAAAAATAAAAAATGCACATGCCCCAAAAGAACACATGTGTCACCTGGTATAATATGAACAAAATTAAATTTGAGCTAGCATGTGGTTATGTTTTCAACACATAGCTTTCTCTACCAAGAGTTGCCGTTTCTTCTACGCTCTCATACATTCTTCTTTGTATAATTTTCTTTGTAAACGATTCCTGGACAAGGTCAAAAAGGTGAACTTTTGAAATTGAAATTTTCACAAAGAAATTTCTAAGGATTTTTCCATTTACCCGATGAAGACAAAAAGCACACAGCAGGTGTGACTGGTCGACAGGGGATCTTTACTCCTGCATGGCACATGTTTATTCATCTGATACTTTAAAAGGTCCTAGTTTGCTCAGGTCCATTTTTTATTGTTTCAATGAATCTTTGAGCTAGATATCTGTTAGCTCTCCATCTATCATTTATTTTATATCAATAAATTTATTAATTGTCGTTAAGATGATACTTCATCATTTATTTCAAATCTATAATCACGTTCACGGTAGCTCAATCCGAAGAACTCTTGCTCCGTGATCAGAAGTTCATGGGTCAATGCCCCAGTTGCGAAAGATCTTAGTCGATAAAAAATAAGTGACAACTGTTCTTTTACTATGCGCTCAAAACTTTGAAAAGAAATAAACGGGACTTTTGGATGAGGCCTTTTAAATCGAGGCCCTGTGTCACGGTAGGTGTTGGCACGATAAAGATACCTCACTGCTCAATGGCCTTGAATGTCATGTAGGTCTTCATTTGAAACTCTTTGTCGGTATATGAGTGACAAATTCTCGGATTTGACGTAAATCAGCATACAATCAACCAGATATATAATCACTTAAAAGGATTTATTTCAAATTTTTGAGGAAACTATTTTGCGAGGTAAAAAATCACTTTTTTTTTTTTTTTTTTTTTTTAAAATCCTCTTAAGTGATAATGAATTAAAAACATAAAATCTTTTTTTTTCACTGATAACTAATAATTAAAATCAATTTTCAAATTCAATGGTTCACTTTTTACACTTTCGCCAATTTTCTTATGTAAAAATTGTTGAAAGAGGTGTAAATTGGAGAGTAGCAGATATGAGAGCTCTGTATAAAAACGATTTAAATTATAATTCAAGCAAAAAAAAAATCATCCATGGATAGTATACGTCGGACTGAGGAAATGATAAAAAAAATACAATAAAAGTTACATTTATTAAGAATTCATACTGAGAGAAAAGAAGATTTACGAGCCCAAGCCGACTTTTTCAAAGATACCTCTCTGACAAATCTGTACCAAGTGATTTGATAGCAGCAAAAAACTTTTTGCTCGACGTGTGAAACGTGTACTAAATAACAATGAAATCTGAAGATAAGGAACAGTATTCAATCTCGAAAGTCCAATGAAACGATACAAATTTGGAGCAAAGCAAGCACGGACCTCAAAATTTAGAGGTGGGATCAGGTGCCTTGGAGGAGAAAGCATCTCCTGTCGACTGGTCACCCCCACCGCGTGTTCCTTGTCATGATCGGAAATAAAACCCCGGAAAAATCCGTACACAGTTTTATGTATAAATAATAGCCTAACAATTAATCTGAAAAACGCCAGTCAGCATTTGACTCAATAATAGGTTGTTTGTGCTGACAAGGTCATTGTATCGACCGTAAACCTTGCGAAAAGATGACTTCCATCGAGACTGTTGATATCCTTGGTTCATCAACTTGTTTGTCAATATCTTGCCTCGTTTTAGAAATTGTTCATACGTAGAGCATCCTCTTGCGTATCGAATCAACTGAGAGACATAAACCACATATGCAGGATATAAGGGTATATTGCTATATAAGTAAGGGAAGTTGATGACGATTTTTTTTTTGTTAGGCTACCATTCACGTCTTTTTCTAGTAAAATATGTAAATATGAAACAGATGTTACAGAATCTGTGGTATTTTTTATTTCAAGCTAACTGGGATATATTGAGTCGACATAAGAATGAAAGTAACTATTTTTAATTGATCATACGTCGTTTATATATAGAAATGTCAATTTTTATTTGTTATTTGATGCTTACTCCTCCTAGGCACCTGTACTCAACTCTGAAATTTGCAGGGGTTAGTGTTTTATGCCCTGTTCACAAATTTGTATTGTTTGAAGGTTTTACGAGATGGATCACTAATCTCTATCTTCACTTGTCGTTATAAAGATTACCTCTGTGACAAGGGATCGCTAACTAAATAATTGATGTCCAAAGACTGCATTATTTGTCTCACATCTTTGCCTTCAAGAGTTGAAATCTGTATGTAGTAATTTTCTGACGTTGTCCAGGCTAATATTCTATGAAATATATACCAGAACATTTATATCATTAGTTGTAACGCTTTTTTGAGTCTGCCTTTCTCCTCTCTCTCTCTCAAAAGAAAACTTTTTTATATTCTATTAATCTCCTCTTAAGAATGCCTTTGAACATAAATCAATCTATTTCTTTTTTCTCGCTTAAATGAATAGTGCCCATTGGTAGTAGTTTATAATGGGTAGTTTCACCGATCACACAGAACTGTCAAATGCTACGTACTAATCTGATCTTAGGAACAAGCGAGTCAGTTTCTTTCCTCTTTTAAAATTTAGAAATCTTCCAAAGCTCAATTTTTGCAAAAAATCCAAAATTTTGCCAATTCGTCATAAAACCTCCAAAAATCAATGTCTTACAAAACAAGTAAATATCCCTTACTGTTTTCTTTAAAACTTTTGAAAAGATATTTTTAAGTATATGTACATTTAAGTTTGTCTACTCAGTACAATTTCTTAACAATTTAACATTTTTAGAAGCATATCATTTTACAGATACCTGTTATGGATATCCACTGAAAGTGAATATATCGTCAGTGCATCTTCTATTCTTTTAACTGTGGTGTCGAAGTTGCTCTCTTTTATAAAGTTCTTCTCAGCAAAGAAAAACGATGACCCGTTCGGACCCATATGCAATCCTTAAAAAAACCTATACAGCATATTGACTTTGGACGAAGAGAGGACACACTCAAACCATAAGTATATTTAAGAAATTACTGTCTTGCTTGTTGGGTATACCTGGACATTAACGACAGTTAGAAACAAGGGAAAATTTGCAAAAATTATCTGACGTTCTATCTGCCCTAACAAAAAAATACTATAAAAGTTAACTATAGTTTACTATAGTTAACTATAGTTAACTATAGTATCAAAGTTTTTTTTTATTATGGTAAATCAAGGTATTTTACTATGGATTTCAAATTATTTTTTTGTTCTTTAATCCATACATGCGCTTTTTTTATTAATATTAAATGGAAGTATTATTTGTATATTCACATAATATTTCCAATGTTTACATAACTGTTATCTAATTTAAGATATTTTAAGCTTTGAAATCTCAAAAAAAGTTTCAAAATAAAGTTTCATAGTAAATCAGATTATAAAGTTGTCACTATAGTTTACTATAATAAATGATAATAACTATACTAAATTTTTGTTAGGGTGTCCTTGTGACCCTATCCAAAGGGTCCTGTCTAAGAACTTGCATTTAAAACCATCCGAACTGACCAAAATTTTAGATCATTCTTGATCTGCCTATAATTCACGAAGTTATGGTTTACACTATCCCATGCAGAATATTTTCTGTTTATTTTTATTTTATTTTATAGCATTATGTATCATTTACCATGAGTAACATTTTTCATAGATTTTTTTATGAAATACTAAAAAAATTTTATATATTGCGATTTCCTCAAGTTAATAAAAAGCTGTAGGCGCAACAACGACAAAACATAATTTGCTTTGTTTTGAATTTGTTCCGGAATTTTGCATCTTTATGTATAAACATATAGAGAAAGAAATTCGACTATAGTTCTGATTTTCTGCAAGATACGAATGCCTCAATTTTGCAAGTACTAGATTTATTAAAATTTCAAGGAATTAATTCTTTGATTATTCTTTGAAAGCACAATTTCTCAACCCCGATCATAACCCTGACTTCTTGCAAAGCAAATTGGCGGTTTCCATGTTTCTACATCGTGTAATGGTCCTGACATTTCAGTTTGTCTTCATTTTTGTTAATCTACCAAGCGTACTATTGAATCAGAAAACTAACCAAACCAAACCTGAATATTTTCGGGTATAAAACAGAGTACAAAACATTTGTTTCTGCGTTTCATCGTTTCTTCACTTCCATTTTGAAAAAAAAAGATTCCAACCTCCTTTGATAATTTGGAATACTACAATATCACAGGAGGTATTTCCGAAAATACCTGATGAGAGTGTCTCTGGGTATATCGTCATTTTATTGTAAATGTATTATTAATGTAAAATTACTGAATTTTTACACATTAAATCTTCACGTCATAATTTATCTTTGCATAATCTGGTAAGTAGATAATAATACATTTCTTTTTCCATATCTTATCCTGTATCAGTCCCAGACACCAATGTCAGTCAGAGGGCGCACAAGCCTGAGGCGAGTGGACTATGTGACAAACCCTGCCTTTTATTTATGCAAAGTTCATACAAAGCACAGCATTATTGTTATTATTATGCTGACTGTTGTATGAAAACAGAAATTTAAATAAATACCTTTGTGCAGACAGGAAATCTCAATGATAATTTTTCGGCTCAAGTATAGAATAATACAAAAGTAGTTCTAACAATTAAGTGTATCTATATATGAGATTAAGAAGATGTATATTGATTCATTATTTATATCACGGCACACAGTATATGCATAAATCACAAAGGCTGTTTCTTTTCCATGTGCATTAAATGAAAAAGAATTGTCAGGAAGCTTAAATGCCGCTTTTCTAAGACAGTCCTCGTATAATCCTCTTTCTTCACATTTTTCGTAGACTCTATTTTCATATAACGTAATTTACTCCGACCTTATCAAAATAACACGTATTAGATATTTGATAGATGTGGCACCTATGTTAAGAACTCTAATGCTCCTTTATTTAAAAATTATAGCTGGATACATGTTTACTGAGAGGAAACACACTGACGGTCATAAGGAATCATACATTGTATATATTTAATCACACTGTGAATTTTGAAAAGATTATATTTTTGAAAATTATATAAGACAAAAAGTACATGTATATGATATATACGCATATGATATATAAATTTTAAAAAATTCTACCCTTAACTAGGAATGTTGACATCAATGTTGACATCAATAAAAAAAAAAACTATATCAATCATACGGACATCCAAATTTGCAATTTATGCCTACTCACACATTCGTCCAAAAAAAACTATTTACAGTTTACATGTGGATTCTTGTATCATATTAAACTATTTACATACCAGTCATTTTAGAACTTGATTCCAATAAAGGACTTTCCATCCATTTTCCTATTACAGTTTCTGATATTCGCCATAAACTTTGATTGTAATATTTTATGAAGATGATTTTCTTAGAATCAGTAGCTACCACGGCCTCAGTTACATTTATTATTCCTGCTTGGCAAAATATTGGTTTCCCTTTTCCTAATACAATATCCAGTTCAGACATACATAATTTACCATCTTTGATTAATACCAGATTAGTGGATGTGTCCTTGTGAGTTCCTACGGAAAAAGAATTAAATAACACTCAAAAAATATCTTGTAAAATGATGTCCATATTCGTTAATTAACACGCATTCTCTGTAAGCACCAAAAAATTTACTATAGGGTTTGGAAACGACATATCTCGGATTTTGATGAAATTTGCACCACAGATGTGTCTTGGTACAAAACTAGCAAATATGGTGTCGGAAGTTCCACACGTGCACTTGGTTGCCATGGAGACGGATCCATCGAATTTGGCCATTTTTGGCCCTTTTTGACCAAATGAAAACATGAAAATTAAGGAAATGTAAACGGATATTTATCGGTATCTACTACACTCAAACTAAAATCATTGGATCACATGATAACTTGAACTTTGAAGGTACACAAGGCATATAATCATTTATTCTAGAAATATTCCCAATCTAATAAAAAGGTCATGCAAATTGACATGGTTTCTGAAAATTTGAAAAATGGGGGATTTAGCATTTTTTGAGATCTTTAAGGCTAAATAAGAAAAATTGTCAGTGGAAAATTTCCAAATCTTATGTGTGTTTTTATACTTGAGAATTAGTAGTGTCATCTCATGAAAAAATATCGGTGGGCATTTACTCCTATTTTTAGTAATATGTATCTATAAATAGATATATTTTAGAAAAATGTAAAAAATCAAATTTTGGCAAAGTTTTAGATGTCAATGCTGGATAATTAGGAAGTATATTGTAAATATTAAGATGTTAATGACAGTAGCTAGACACCACTAGCTGGAGTGAAAAATGGTTGAGGGGGATTCCCATTTCTATTTATAGTATCAAGCACCCAAATATAGATATGTCTCTGAATATTAAGAAAAATGACAGTTTTATGCTAATTGGAAGCTTCACGTCTTAACAAATATTAAGCTTTTTACAATATGCCTTCCAAAAGAACATGTGTTTGTACAATAATTGATACAATATTGAGCATCAACTCTTGTTTCTTTTTATAACAACAATGGTCTAAAAATAGATTCCTCGAATTATCGAGAAAATGTAGATTCTTGCACTTTTTCAGGCACTGATGGATGGAAAGGATGCAGACTAACTGTTATAAACCTAGTGTGATTGACAAGTACTAGAAACCATTTACAGAAATATATACTATCTGAAGGGGGTTCCCTTTTCTATTTATAGCACAAACACCCATAAATAGAAACATCTCAGCATATGAGGAAAAATGACAATTTTCCACCAGTTGTAAGCTTCATTGAAAAAAATATTTACAAAATATACTGCTGTCTACAATATGTCATGAACAAAAACATTTGGGCAATTAATAATTGACACAATATTGAAGATTGACTCTCTTTTCTTTTTATAGTAACCGTTGTCTAAAAATAGATGCAGTGAGTTATTTAGAAAATAGAGATTCTTGCACTATTTTAGACATTATTGATTGAAAATTTGAATACTCTCTATTATAAACATTATGTGACTGACAAGTACTAAAAACCAATGACTGAAATGCAAAATGTTTCAAGGGGATGCCCATTTCTATTTTTAGCACAAAAAATTAAAAAAAAAAACTTAGATACGTCTTAGTATGTAAAATGAGGTTAAATAAAAATTTTCCACATACTGAAAGCTTCGTAAAAATATTCACAAATAATTTGCTATCTACAATATTTTAACAACAGGAACTGACAAGTTCTAGTAACCATTTACTGTAAGGCCCTGTATTTGAAGGGGGTTCCCATTTCTATTTATAGAATCAAACACCTTAAAATTTACATGTCTCAATATATGAAAATAAATAACAATTCTTTAGTAAATAAACTTCACAGAATAAAAAAATTACAAAATAAACTGCTCTCTACAATATGTCATTAACAAGAACAGTTAGTCAATTAATATTTGAACACTATTTAAGGGGTGAACTCTCATTTTTTATAATAGCAAAATTGTCAAAAAAATATCAAAATGCTTAGAGTTATCCAGAATATGTAAATTCTTGCATTATCTCACACATAACGGATGAGAACTTTACAACCTAACAGTTACTGTTATAACCATTATGTGAATGACAAGCAATAGTGACCATTTACTGAAATGCACACTATTTGAATGAGGTTTCTTTTTCTATTTATAGCAACAAACACGTAAAAAAGTTTCTGTCTTAGCATATGAGAAAAATAACAAAGTTCCACCAATAATTACCTTCTTCTAAAAAGATATTTACAAAATAATACAATTGTCTACAATATGTCATGAAGAGGGCCTTTACTTTCATTTGTTTTTATGGCAACAATTTTATAAAAATAGAAACCCTGAATTATCACAAAGATGTAGATTCTTGCACTATTTCAGACAGTAAAGATAATTTTCCACCAATCAGAAACTCATAGAAAACGTATTTTCAAATAAAC